TTCTGATCTGGAAGAAATGTACCGTTGCAGAGCATGAAAGCCCTGATGCTTTGTCCCAGCCCACTCCTACCAAATGGGTTGCAGTGATTCCTTGACCAAGATAGGGGAGACATGGGAGAGGTTAGTATTGTGTCTATGGTCCGTGTGGAAATTTGCATCTAGGCTTGAATGTCTGTCTGTCATTGCCTGGTGGATGGTGGGAGAGGGGCTTTGGCTTTGAATGATTCCTGTGTTTTAGGCACTTCACTATGAGTCTGCAAGAGGCTGAGTGTCACAGGTAAAATCTGAAGTGTCTCAGCCTGAACACAGGACACCAAGGTGGGAACCAGCTTTCTAAAGGACAGCTTTCCCCACTGCAGAGAGTTGTATCACTGTAACACTTCAGACCCCAAAAAAGGGCTATTCCCAGTCTGATCTGTGATGAACTTGGCAATTATATGTGAGGGTGAGCACAGCCCTCAGTGCTTCTGACATTTTCAGAGATGTCATAGAATCACAGAATGGTTTGAATTGGAAGGAACCTTAGAGATCATCTTGCTCCAACCCCCTGCCATGGGTAGGGACAACTTTCTCTAGACCAGTTTGCTCAGAGCTGCATCCAGCCTACCAGCCTGCATGGAATCATTCTCACATGCTTTAAGAGTGACATCTCTACGGTTTAAAAGCAATCCTTGTCTTTCCTGTGCTGCCTTGCAATGGAGCCACTTACACTGAATTCAAGTGGCAGGTAGGTAGCGGGTGCATGGCTGGGAGGGCTGGCACACTGACCTGAGGGGTTGTGAGGAGCCTCTCATGTCCTCTGTCTGCCACAGTCCAGGAAAAGGGCTTCAACTGAACAAGGTGCCTGTGCTGCAGTGCCTGTGCTAGAGAAGCAGTGTCCGTGGTTGCTCTGGAAGGGATGCAGAATGTGTGATTATGATATAGTGTGAGGCTGAAGCAAGCACAGTTTATTTAACAGCTAGTTAATGCATATTCTCTTGGAGCCACATAGCAGCTGAACTGCAACTGTATTCATAAAATGCTTCCAAACTCATGTAGTTAGACTTCTGGATCTGTTTTGCTAGCTTAAACTGAATGAGCAGAGGCATAACCAAACAAGGGGAACCTATGGGTAAAAGGTAATCTTGAGCTTGGCTTTATTCTTTGCAAAATATCTGCTCTTTCAATACCAGCTCAGAAGTTTTGGCTTTATCCAAATCCACAGTACAATGCATCCACGCCTCTGAGTAATCTTTGTTGGCTGAAGTGCAAAGAGCTTAATCTTATGTTTTGCAGGTTGACAAAACGTGTATAAAATTTCTTGTCCATCAAACAGTTCTCCTAAGGAGCTAGTTTAAAACGCCTACATTTAATATTTATTTGTTTTGTCACATTATGCCTTATAATGGGTTGGTCTGCCCAGCAGCTAATCAGATGGTGACCAGGCTCCTGCTTCTCAATTCACGTGGCCAGGCAATGATGCCATGTGGCACTTGGCCACGGCACATTTGACCTTGGGAGGCAGAATGGCTGTCTCTCAGGGAAGCAGAACATCTAATATTACTTATCCCTGTCTTTCTAACGCAATCAAGTTTATATTTGATGCACTTTTGGTCTTGGCGGCATTTTCTCTAATAAGTGTTTTATATTTAAAATGTAGGGAGGAGCATTGTTGTTAAACACCAGGTCACCTTGTTTATCGGTAAGTATTACTTTTTCTGCTTTAGGGTAGCTGCTTTACTTGTTTTTGTGGTTTAAATTCAGTTTGAGACCTTCAAGGACACACCAGTTGTGAGCTCCAGTGGGAAGCATCAGAGAACAAGGAGTCAAGTAAAATCAAGTGCCATGCTTATTAGGAATACGGCCACTCCTAATACATTTGTTCCATCTGTCCATTGTTTTTCCTTCCTTCCATTTTGGTTTATGGGCCAAAAAGGCAGACAAACCACCAGCTCTCATTTCATGTGTAACACAGGCCTTGGAATTTGACCCAGTGTCTCTTTTAACTGATGCCATTAACTTTTTTAAAAAAAAGTATTAATAAAGGACAGCTTGAAAAAACTATTGTGACCTTTATTTGAAGACCTTGAAAGGTAGTCGACCCCTTTTACTGACTGATGGCTAGGAGAGTCAGCCTCACTGTTGAGTATATTATGTCTTACTCTGCTCTGAATGTGCCTAACATAACTTGCAGCTGTTGACTGTCACTATGCCTTTCTCTGCAGGTGACATTGCCACCAGTACTCTGTATTTCTGTGGTGCGATTGAGAGATACTGTTTAGTGAGACCAGAGTACTGCCTCAGAGTGCCCCCTGTAAGGCGTTTTTGTCCTGTTGTTTTGCTCTGGACCATCTCCAGACTTTCAACATAATAAAAAGCCCCATGTGCGTCTGATCAGTCAGTGGGTGTTGCAGCTCCAGGCTTTGCTGGGCTTCCAATTCCGCATTGTCAGTCACAGGTGACTGTGACTCCTCTAGTGGTTGCCAATGAGGTTCCTGCTTTTGTCAGCTTGTCCTTTCTTGCTGGCTGCATGGGAGCCAGCTGTCACATAACCCATCTGTTATCTGGGGGTGTCCAAATCCAGCAGGCAGTCCAAAAACCTTCCAGAAGTCCTGACCCAGAATAGCAGCCTCTGGGAGCAAGGGGACTGGTGTTGACACCAAGGGTCCCTTGGAACTCCTCTTCCTGAATCCTGGCTAGTTTCTCCCTCTCTGTGGGCTCAGCCCACCTCTTCACTGGCCCTGGAGCCATGTAGTAGGTTTGACTCCACAGGGTGGTGTGGGAGGTGCACAGACAGAAGACAGCCATTGGAACTAAAAATTTATTGGCAATGCATCAAAAATGAAGAGGAAAAGGTACAAGCAACTGCTTCCACCAGCAGTTACACTCTGCCTGTAGTCTCTCTTAGGTGTTCCCACAGGTCAGAAAACTCAGATGGATTCATGGATCAACTGCACTGAGGCAGCATGGTGGTCCAGGACCTGAGCTGACTTCACTAACACTACTGAGCATCTTTGCTTGTTTGAGTACTTTCAGCTGACCAGTCGACTTGTGCTCATCTGAAGGACTCCCTCTTCTTTAGCTACTGACCTTGCCACTTGCAAATTTTATCAACAATATTTTTTAGAGTTGTATCTCCTGCTGGAAATACTAAACAGCACAGTTGTTGCAGAGAGGCACACACTGTCAGCAGTGATTGATGCTTTTTTTGGACCATGTATTTTTGTCTGTTAGCTAGTAATTAATCCATATAATGCAAATTATGGTCTATTCATACATTATTCATTTCTTCTTCAGAATTTACAAATGTCTTGGTTTGTTTAATTTGCACCAATGCTTTCATCAACCAAATATATTATTTTGTCACAGAATGAAGTCAGGTTGGTTTCCCACAGTGCCTTTTTTTTTTTTTTTTTAATCCTAAATTATTCATATTATTTTAATTGTTTAAGCATCTGTTAGGTGACTTGTAATAATTTCATGCTCTCTTACCTTTGATTATTACTACAGAACCGTCTAACACTCAGGTGTCACATCACTTTCTCTCTGAGCAGTGGCACCACATACTCTTCCAAGACTGGAAATTTCTCTAGTATGGGAGAAATTGATAATCTTGGGATTTCTCTAGTATGCCAGGATTTTTAAATACCTAAATCCATTGGGCCAAATGCCTCCTCAGCCAAATTATGACTCTGAGATGCAAATTTTCCTGGCTACTGATCTGAAAATACTTATGCATAATAGATGCTGTTAAAACTTTCCTTAGTTTGCAAACAGATGAGGAAGTTGTTTTCTATCCTTATGCAGTGTAAATACACAAATCCGTTTCTTTCTCTATACAAAGAGCTACATTCTGTGCATCAAAAAGCCTCCACCAAAAATCTTCACTATCAAAGTTTGACCCATATCCACCCAGTAAGAATCTAGGCTGTTACTAGCATTTCTTAGTTTTCAACGTCTTTTGAAAAAAACTGCTTTCAAGTGCCGTTAGGACTTGCAGCAATCCAGTTTTTCCAGATTATTTTGAACACTCCTTATCACCTTGTATGCTTCATAAATTCTCGCTTTTATTGTGTGCCATATACCTCCTTTCCATCCACCCCTTCCTTCTGCTTTTTTTCCCCCCTGTTGATTTTATACAGGGGATTTTGAAGTGTTAACCTTCAAATTCCCTGTTAGGCAGCAAAGGCACATTTAATCATGCCTGTCTTTTTTCACAACTACAGAACCACAGATCTCCATTTTGTAAACTTCTTGCAGTGAAATATCTATTAAAATGTTTATTATAGCTTTCTCCTGGAGAGTCATATTTCTCTGATTGCTTGATTTGCCCATAACTTCCCCCATTTCAGGATTTACCATTTTGAAATACCAATTTTGCCTACTTATATGCCCAACTTCACACATAAAACGCTTATATACATAAATATCTTGCTTAAACACCTGCCTTGTAGGCATTAACCAGGTGTACTTATATACAGCTACAGATACACACCTGCATACATGTTGTATATCTACTTACAACACGTATACATACATACATGTACCTGTATATGCACACGCATATATGCAGTCATACAAACACTCACCTATATTCAATTTAATTTTCTCTGAAACCAGAGAGGAGGCATTTCTAAAAATGTCCAAGTTGAGACTGTCCACGTCCCTCCCTGGATGAAGTTGTATTTCCCTGTGAGTCCACCCCTGGATGATCACTCAGATCCTCCACCAGGGGCATCCCTACCCTTCCCATACCAACCAAGGACTCTATTAGTATTTGGATAGGGCTGGCTTTCCTGAGCAGGATATATCAAGGGACAAGGGACTGCAGGAGAGTTTCTTCTGTTCTGAAGCCCTTAGAATTTGCTAAGATTTTGGTTTAGCTGAAAAGGAGAAAGGAAAAAACCCAACAAAGTAAGATGCAGGAAGACGCAGAACATCACCTTGTGTTGCCCTTCACCAGAAATGAGTCTCCAGCTCCTACACTCCCTCCCTCTCCCTGCAGGATCCTGGGATATCCTGCCCCCTGTCTCTCCTAAGTGGAGGTGCAGAGGAGAGGAAGATGCTCCTTTCTGCATCTCACGCACGAGGGATGTGGCTCAGGATTTTAAACTCTCACCTGCTGTTTTCCTGAGCACGATGAAGAGGACAATGATGAAGGTGATGGTAGCAATTAAAACCCCCGCCTGTCCTTGCAATCTCCTTTGCTCTGCAGAGGAAGAGGAGAGCCAGTGATGTTGGGTTGGCTGGAGCGGCTGAAGAGCCAAGGAGTTATCACAGTTAAACTTCCGTAGCAAGTGACTGTGTGCACGCTCCTGTCAGGTACACAGATGTGACATGACACAAGTGAGCCAAAGCCACACAGACCCAGAGCCAGTTATACTGGCTGGACTGACATGTCATAACTCGTTAAACTGCAAGTATGGCTTGCTCTTCCCTGCTGTGTCAGGAGGAGGCACAGGAGCAATCTCCAATCAGCAAGGAGAGTGAGAAACCCAACAGTTCCAATGGGGGAGGCACTTTTGGCTATAGTTCTCTGGTAGCATCAGTCTTGAGCTGAATACCGAGTCCAGCTGAGTGTCTAACTCCTTGGGCATGGCTGTTTTCTTGTGCCTCTCCAGTGGGGTCAAGCCTTCTATTCTGTTGCTCCACTTTCAGTCATAACACCTCTTTTCCCCTGAAGGAAATGAGGTATTTGCTCCCTCAAAACTTCAGGGAGTGAAATACAAGCTGAAGAAGTGAAAGGGAAAGGGGAAGAGGAGGACAGAGGGAACGGGTATGAGAGGACACCAGAAAGAAAGCATGGGGAACCAGGCAGATGTGGTGTGGCTCAGAGGTTTTGATCCCTGTGGTGGGTGGATGAAGTGTGAGGAGGTCTGGGCAGGATGAAGAACTTGCCCCTTTTCCCCTGACACCTACCTGGTGCCTTAAGACGGGCACTCACAGAGATGGGCTCTGCCAGGGCCAAGTGTGCAACAAGGCAGCTGTAGGTGGCTGGTGTCTGTGCTGGGGCTGAGCTGATGCTGAGGTAGGAGGTGATGCTGTAGGTGCCATCTCAGCTCTGCCAGTGGCTGGAGAAACATACATTTGAAAAAAGAATTTTTGCATTGTTGCAGTTCAGAACAGTTATCACATCTTTCTCAAATGACACCATCCCTGGAATGACATGAACTCTTGAAGGCTCTGGAGAGGATAAACGGTGAATGGATCTATTGATAGCAGAGTACAAAAGTCTGTCCACAAGGTAGAGAAGGTGAGCTGCCTCTGACAGTTGAATGTTGGGAGCCATGGGACAGGCTGAAGGGCAAAATTTCGGTGCCTGGGGACATGGGACTCCTGTTTCCCCTAGGCACTTCCATTTGTCCCTGGCCATATGCAGCTAGATGATGTGCTGGGCCTGGTGCAGCAGGGTGGACATCAAACAGATGCATCCCTTGTCTCCCATGCTCACTTTGTGTAGTCTAAGTGATACCACAACCACATGGATTTTTGGCCACCTGGTAGCCAGCAATGTTCCCTCCTTAGTCATAGGAATCCTCTCTTTGTCCCAACTGCCACAGTGGGGTCCTCTAAGCACCAGGGTGATGCTGATCCCACTGGAGAGCCACAGAGTGACCATGAACCAGGAGGTACAGCAGGGCCCCTCACTAGCCCGCCGGAAGCTGTGTGTGTGGATCTCAGAGTTCACCTCCCCCCATCACAATCCATATGCATCAGAGACTCTCTATGTGGGATGAATATTGGCAATGGACCCTTCTCACCCTGCACCACTCTCCTCTGGAAGACATTTACCTTTACGAGGACCCTTGTTTTCATGAGGTGACTTTCACTGAAGGGGTTGGGGGTGCAGGAGAAGCCCTGGCCTGGCTACTGGGGCTGGCAGCAGTTTCGCTTTCACTCTGGTGAAGCTGAAGGGAAAAAAAAAAAAACCCAACAATTACACCCATTCACTCTTTCTGTACCAAGCATGGGAGCCTGGAGGCATAAGGGAAGTGGGGCACAACCAGATGGGGTTGAGGAGTGCCCCTCCCCAACCTGTGACTGGGTAGATTTTGCTGGATCCTTCTTTAAGTCAATATTTTATCAGCCTTTCCCACCACGCTTCTGCATGTGAGCTCATCTCCTCTGGCCTCACTGAGCAGCCTCTGGAAGCAGTCACCTTTCCGCCTTCTTGCTTTTTAGAATACTTTTTCTTCGTGAAAGACTTGGAGGTGGAAGCTTGTTTCTTTCTTTCCACCCCAACCCTGCCACTCCCCAAAACCTTCTTCAGCTGGAAAGAACTCTGCAGTGGCATGAGCCAGCTCCCCTTCAGCCCAGCAGGTTTGTGGTACTGCCACCAGTTGCCAGTTCAGCCCTAGCTTTGCAAGAAAAAACATCACGGGGAAAAAAACCTAGCTGCAAGAAAGAGAATGGATGAGCTCTGATGGTATTTTAACTACTACCTTTTTCCTGTCTTTCGAACGCATGGAGAGAAGATGGCTGTTTCTCTGCTGGTCTGTTTCCTCTCCTCACAGTAACACATCTCACCCTTGCTGTGGCCAGCTAAAATCATGTGCGCACACCTGCAGGAAACCACAATAACCCCCAGCCACAGCTCTCCCAGCACAACCTCCTGACATCCGGCTTGTGCTGGCCAGACATGGGTTCTTGATACAGACTCGCCCCTTCGTCCCAGTCCCATCCTCACTCACCACGTCAGTCCTTCTCGGAAAAGCCTCACAAGGAATATTAATTCTTCCTGCAAAAGTTATGCTTAGGAGTCCTGAGCTGTCAGACGTGGCCAGCTGCTCTGACTAGCTCTCCCACTGCCATTCCAGGGTAAGATCACACACCCAGCAGCACACCCTGTAAGTCCTTGCCTTCCCCTTCAGTCTGAGATGCACTCATCTCTGCTCCCCTGGCCCTTCATCTGGCATAATCCATGCTCTCAGAGGGCACCCACATACTCATGTCAGCCAACGAAGCAGAGCACAAGTGTCTGTTCAACTCCTTCACCCCATGAAAATGCATCAGCTGTGTCTGTAACGGGAAGGCTCCTTTCTGATTTGTTTATCTACCTCCTCCAGTAGAGCCCAAACTGCATTTCAGCAGCAGGTTTGCCCATTAGCCGTGTGTGCTGAGGGCTGGGGCAGGTCTGCAGCCTGTGCTGCGGCTGTGAAATGAGTTGTGGTTTGCTGCATGCAGAGAGGCTCCGACACAGCAGTTGTGATGCACTTCATTTTCAGGGCTGTAAGCCACTCTTGACAGTTCTCTGCAATCAAATCCCAACAGACACCTATTAAAGCTGCGACTCTCTTGCAGTCTCCAGAGCTGCAATCCATTGTACGCTGGATCAGGCTGGCTCTAAGGAAGAGCTCTGGTAAAAAGTTGTGCAGCTTACCGAGCTAGCTAATAACTATAGCTTTACCATGTAGGTGTCATGTTCAAGAGAGCCATTCAGTGGTGCTACAGCGGCTGGGAAAGGGCTGTGCATCTGTTTTCCTACTCAGGGAGATGAAAACCAGTTAAATAACTACGTGATGACAGATAAGGAGGCACCAATGAGCAGAGGCCTAGACAACAAGGGGAAACAATATACTCATTGTGATGAGAAAAGCAGCAGCACACAATGCTGTCAGCAAAAGGACAATCTAGTTCAGCAGGTGAGGCCAGAGTGGCAAATGCCTGTATACTATAGGGAATCTCAGGTGATGCTGTGGAATCAGAGAGGTGATGGTGGGAGGAGACCTCCAGATATCTGTGAGCCGTGATTTTGTCCAACCAAGTCTGGAAACCCTCCAAGGGTGGAGATACTGCCACCTCTCTGAGGACCTGTTCCAGTGCTGCTTTTCTACTCTTCTGGGAAAAAAGTAATTCCTGGAGTTCAACCTGAACCTACCAAACTTCAACTTGTTGCCATTGCCCCTTGTTATATCACCTACTACTATTAAGACAACTTTGGCTCCACTGTCTTCGTAACTATCTTCCAGATACCAGTAGGAAATCATATGCTGTGTAAACTAGGTATCATGCAAGTACCAGGAATATGGTGAATAACGGTCATCCTTGTTATTAAAAATCCTGATTTAATAAACAGGAATGATAGAAAGGAAAATAAAAACAGTGCATTCGTTTCACATGAATGATATTACAGCTGGTTTAGATAAAACTCAGAAAGTTAAAAGAGGCTTTTCTCTGGTGCAGCTCAGAGTCAGCCATGAACTGCTCAAGTTCATACCTGGATATGCAGAGAGAGCGCTAACATTAAAAGCGCTAAACCCCAGCAAAAACTATGCTGCCATGGAGAAACTAACTTCAGAGTTATGGACATCGTGATCATCTCTCATGATCAGAACGGGCCTCAGGCCTATAATTCTCAACATGACATGACAAATTCCTTCGCAAAACCATCACTGAACCTACAAAAGCTTTGTTAGTTGTAAATAGCAATTAAGTCATAGAGCAGGTGGTCATCAAAAATAAATTCGGAGCGTGTGATCATAATTTCCTTACATATAAATTCAGTGGGAAGCTAAATAAGAATAGGCCTGCACTGCATATGCATGTTTTGTTTCAAAAGAAATTAAACCCCAAGGAATTAAGACCCTTTAGCACGGACTGCAGCAGTAAGGAAACTGTATATGAAGGATGCCCAAAATTTCTGAGGTAAGGAAACTGTATGTGAAAGATGCCCAGATTTTTTGAGAGGAATGCACAGTGTTTCTGGAATGTGCACCCTAAGTAAAGAAGCAAAAATCCCTCCGTAGCTACGTGGATGAAGAGCCACAAAAGTGAAGGGTAAGGATAAAACATTCTTCAGATGTTTGTAGATATAATGTAACATCAATCTGGATTATGGATTTTTAAAAGAAAAGAAAGTTTTTCATGTAAGTAAATAACTGTACCAGGAAGGAGAAAGTGGCTGTAAAGAAGATGAGGTAAAAAATAAAAATATTTGTTAAAATTAAATAAATATAAATAATAGTCTTAAACCAGGAAAATGATAGTAAAGAGTGGAGCAGAGGAAAGGGGAGTAATGAATATGAGGGTACAGGAGCTACCACATTTGATTTAAAGGCAAAGCATACATTAATGTGATGAAACTAAGAAAAAAAGCTAAGACTTGAATTTTAATGGATTTTTTTTTAAACCATAATAATATTTATTCTTAAGAAAGCAACAAGGAGTTACAGACTTTTGCAAAATGATAGGCACTGCTTAAACTTCTCCTTATCTGTGTTCACTCAGTTTTGGGTGTTGGAAGCCCAGTAAAAAATTTCTTCCTTCAAACCAGACTTAGGATACATGTCAGTAGGCGACCTGCCCTTTCACCCCTTAAAAATTATCGTTTGCCCCAAATTACTGTATAGCACCGATTGGGAATTTCCAGACCCTTTCTCAAGGAGAAGTGTTTGTCCAGGAAATCTCTTATTTTGGCAGCATACAGGAATATCAGCATTGGTGACTCTCTGGGATTTTACTGAGGCCTCTCAGCTCATGTTTCAGTGATCTGCTGGCTTAAAACTCTAACCCAGAAAGAGGCTGTGCCACAGAGTGAGGTCCACTGCATACACTGCAATTCAAAACAGAATCGGCATTTCACCGAGTTCTCAAGGCTCATCCAAATATCTTAGTAGAAACCAAACCAAATAAAATAAAATATAAAATCTCCATTCCCCTTATGTCTCTGTTCTCCTAAACATCACTCTTATCCTCCTAGCATCTCCTGAATTGCACTGTTTCCTCCCAAATCATTTGCAGCTTCCACATCCCACTTCCCTTCATTCCTGTGCGCTTTCACCTGTCTCCACTTGCCTCTCCTCATAACACCTACAATCAGGCAGGTCTCCTCCAGCCAAACCCGTTACCTTTTCTGTTTCCTGTCTTCTGTTGTCGTGAGTGTTTTTCCTCTACTCTGACACTTCTGATTTCCATAGTGCCATTGTTTCACTTCCAATCTTCCAGGGAGAGAAAATGCTGCAAAACACGCCAGCCTGGAGTGTGCAGAGTATTTCTCTTGCCCTTCACAAGGCTTGTGGACAGCACAAACAAGATCAAAGTCATGAAGATCCAGAGTGTGGGATCTGGACCAAAAGCAGCTTATATGCTCTGCTGGACTTGGATCCCGTTTTCCAGTTCAGACTCCTCCATAGCAATAGACCCATTTTGAAAAACACTAAACGCTCTGTTTCTAATCAAATTCCTCAAGCTGAAATTCAGGAAGTTTTATCGGCCAAATTACAAATCTAAACCAGGAGCTAAGGACTTGCTGAACCCAAATCAAAGCCTCTTACCTTTTAAATAAGCCAGCACTGTGCTCATCAAGGCAAACAGGTCAGGCAAATTGATTTCCTTGCAGCTCCCAAAGCTTCTGCTGACTCTGCCAATGGGCAGGACCATCAACACTGAGCTAGCTTTGCATATGCCCTCAGATTAATAAAACTGAATCCAACACCAGCCCACAGCTCTCCACTAGTGATAAATGTGAGATGAAGTGAGAAGCTGACATTGGCCAGGTGGATACATAGCAGTGTAAGGGTGATCTCCACTCCCTTGCACAGCTTTGCCTATTCCAGGTTAACCACAATAACCCGAAGATGACTGGGGATTTTCAACTTTCTCTTGATGTGCTCAAGGTTACTTAGCCAAACTTATAGTTTACAGAAGCATACCTATATATTCACAGGGAAAAATGCATTTCTTTCTGCATGAATTAACATTCTCTGTCACTCCGGTGTACCCTACAGCAGTACCAGAAGAAAAATGGTCCAGTCTCCTAGATGTTCTATGAACACCCTGGGTCATCCCAAGAGATAGAGGTTGTGACATTCCTATCTCTGAACTTCTCCCTGAACCATCATGTTTGCAAAGGTTGTGTCCTCCCTGCAGTCTGACTCGGGCAACTCCTGCATAGGGAAGAAGCAGAATCAGTGGTAATAAAGTTGGAAGAACTGAAGTCATGCCATCTCCAGGAGCAGGATGATACAAGAACAAAATCCTCTTGAACTGACAGAAGGAGGTCAGGAGTGGGATTGCAGCGGTGCTGGTGACACTAACACTAAAGGTAAAAAGAGCCCAATTCATATTTAATACAAGCCACAATGTCAGGGCAGCCACAGGCAGCCACACCAGTTTACAGCACCCAAGTGGCTGATCATGTGAGAGACTGCTCATAGCCTGAAATTTTTCATGGTCTCTTATATGACCTTGAACAGTGGCTTATTCTGAGACCCTATTATTTTTTCTTCTCCTCCCCAAATTATCCATAATCTTTATCTTGGCTTCATTTTCAAGTACGTGGCACAAATACTGACACCTATGTGTAAAGCTTTATGAGACTTTCCAGAAGGGATCTCTAGGGAAAGAAAATGGAGTAACATTAAAAAAAAAAAATAAAAAGGGAACTGCTGGTAGTCCTGCTCCTGGGACCAATCCAGAACTGTCCCCACAACTCAGACAATATGCCCCTGAGTGTGTGTGTCTGGAGAAGAAAAACATCCTCATATGGTTAAAAATCTCACAGGGACCACTTAAGCTGTAAGTGTAGACAAGGACGAGCTGCACTCAGCATGGTTTCAGTCACCATGCAATTCATGCCTTTGATTACCAAGCACTCAGCTCAGGTTCATCAGCAACCTCTATGGGTAAGAAAGGGCTCCTTCTCTCATAGCTGACTCATCCCAGATGCAGCGAGACAAGGGATGGCAAGCGTGGTGTGCGCCCATCCACCTGAGCCAGCTTTCACCTGGCCAGCCCAGGTGAGGAGAGCAGCGGTCCAAGCCAGCAGATATCCCAGCTCCCAGAGAGAGGTTCTTCTGCCTGAGACAGTAAGATGAAATTCAGATCTCATGTCCTGAACTTGCACTTCTGGCTGTGAACCAGAAGAAAGGGGTGTGAGTCAGCGCCGCTGTGGCTGTGTAGCAGCTGTAAGCTGTTGTAAGCTGTTAAATCAGTTCGTGGCCATTTCAGAGGAATCCCACCCACCACCACACCTATGGCATTTCTCTCTGGTGTCACTGAAATGGGTTTAAATAGTGTAATGAGACAGACACTGCTGATAACATGCTTGCTTTCTCTCATCTGTTGCCTCAACAAGCCCATTCAGTTTTAAAGTTAGTGTATTTATTAAAAAATAAATCAAATCTTAACCACTCTTCTGCTCCGTAAAAAAAGAAAAGATTCTTATGCTCAAGCCCCTTTAACTGAGGCAAGCATTATCTGTACTGTTACTGAATGGGTTGCTGAATGTCTTTTCTTTTACAGAGAAGAATAGTATTTCTTTGACATATTATTTACAGTTGCTTACAAGTAGAATTTGCAACTTCCAACTGCAAAACTGCAAATTCCTCAGTTCTCACTGGAGTTCTAACAGATTCCCTTAATTTTGGGGTGTCCTTTTCTTTTTCCCATGTCTCAGAACAGGTTACCAGTCCCTGGGTCTGCCAGGCAGAAGGGCATCTATCTGTGCTCATGGAGTTTGGCTTTACAGATGAAACCAAGGTGTTCCAGACCTAGTCAAGCCAAACACATTAACTAATCTTGTTTCTCTCAGGCACACGGTACAGGGGCAGCAGCCTACCTTCAAGATTGCAAAGGTGCTGTTTTCAAACAAGATCCTTATTGCTTTCTTCAAGATGCTGCATTAAGCAAGGAACAGAAACATAAACAGAAAGCAGATGATGTTAGTGAGCAGTGGATGACGTTTCAACAATTAAATTAATGCAGAGAAAAAAAAAATCAGGATGTTTCAAACACAGCCAAGGAGACGAAAGTTTTGTACATCCAAAGGAAGGTTGGAAGCAACAATCTTTACACCTGAATTCCCAAATCTTTATCTGAAAACACCTGAAGGGAGCACAGCAAAGGACAAACAGGTTGTTCAGACTCTGTGCTTGAAAGTAGAAACCAAAGTCTTTCGAGTCTGCTCTCGAGATTCAGACATTCCTGTCAGCAGCACGGGGTCCATCCTGTGCTCCACTTGGTAGAAGGGACAATTCTTCAGGTGTTCTGACATGCACATGACGTCACTGCGCTGCCATTTGTGAACTCTGGAGAAGAGGCTGCTGAACTGCCAGATCTAATATGGGAAAGGGAAAGAAACTGGTGAGATAAAACGGGGATGGTGGTAAAAACAGAAGCGGATTTTAATTATCTATAGATTCTCACAGTGGGTGTGCATTACTCATACTGGACAGGCTAGTGAACACAACATGATTGTGCAGGCCTGGCATAAACAAACATGGGGTCTGTATTGTTATGTGTCTCGTATTTGCTGGTTTTTCTGCTTTATTCATCACCTGCCATTTTTAATGGAGAAGTCACTGACACCGTGATTTCCATGGTGTCAATCCAGTGCAGAGCATGAGGAAATCCAGGACACCTGACCACTGCACCTCTGCAGAAAACTCCATCACATGTGCAGTGTGCTCCAAGATGTTTATAAAGCAAAGTGACCGCAGCATGCTTATGTGATATGTATCTCAAAGAAACCTGACAACATAAAGACCTTCCAAAGCACCTACTGGCAACTACAAAGCAATTACCATTACAACACTGTTACTATTCACCCCACACCAGAAAACTCTGGGAAATACAGGATTAAAGTTATTACTAGAGGACATACAAACTTGTAGAAAATAGAAATGTGCAGTTCAACTTTTCTGTTTGCAGTGATACCATGCACCATTTACTGATATACTAGCATGTAGTGATAGGACTGTGATTAAGTGACTTTAATATTTGCTGTATACCGTTAAATCAAATTAATTTTTAAAGATTTCTTCTCCATAAAAATGTTTCTTCCTTGGGAAGAAGGATAATATGTGGACGTGCCATGCTGAAGATTGCCTGACCCTGTCCTAGTTCTAAGTAATAATAGCTATGATACACAGTAGTCAAGAAATTTGGAATTACAAACAATGTTTTCAAGCAGAGTCTGTGCATTGGAAACTAGATTCCTGTGTGGCCAGTACAGAGAATTACCATGAAAAGGGTTAGAGAGTCCTTAAATTCAATGCTGCTGGTTTGAAATTGCACTACAATAACTGAAGTTACTTGCCCTATGATTGGGTGGCTGGAATGTCTTCCTTTTACTGAAGGAAGCCACATCGTCCAGTAAATTATTTCAGTGGCTAATTCCTGGTCTGTGTTGGGCTAATTCAACTTGCAGCCCCCAACACTTTGTTACACAGATTTTTTAACTCGCCATGCTTCATGTTTTCTCTTAAAAGAGAGTACTTTATCTTAATAAGAAGTCATGAATTGCTACACTTCCATTTGATAAGAATCAAGAAGTGGATATCTACGGGGCTCTGCTTGAAAGCCAGGTCCTTAGATAATTTCTGGGAGTCTCTTGTGGACCTCTAAATTCTTATTCCTAGATGTCCGTCTTGTCTGCTTGGTCAGGCTGAAGTCTGTCATGCTACACTTTCAAACAGTTTCATTGATGGTGGACTTGATAGTGTTAAGTTAACGGCTGGACTTGATGATCTCAGAGGTCTTTTCCAACCTAAATGTTTCTATGACTATATGATTTGATGTTAGAGCAGCTGCAAGGCTAACAGCTAGAAAAAACCCCTGTAAAAACTAATGTTCAACTAGGACTCAGACTGAGTTGTGTTTACGTATTTCTTCCTAAACAGCCAATAAGGGTAGCAATTTTCCAGCACAAAAAGTGGGAGACCACCTTTGCAGAAGGTGGTTTCCTATCCCCATGCTGCTCCCTCAGGCACAGCAATCCTATGAACAGCTAATCATAAAAGCCCTCAGGGTTTGATACGAATGCCTGAGCCCCTTTCACGGCCATCTCCTTGTTCTTTACCTTTTTGGCATTCTGAAGCATTTTGTCATACCCTAGATTGGCTTGCAAAGAACAAAAATAAGTATGAACATCAAGTTCTTCAACAATCCGTGAGTAATGCTTAAATATCAGGAATTCTTAGTTCCCAGTGCCTAAAAACGGTGCATATGCAAATGAGTTACCCAAGACAAGCTTGGGTGGGGACTTTCAGCCGGTCAGAAGATACCTAGTTACACCTGCCCACCTTTGCTAGATGTGCTGCACTTTACAACCCTGCCGCTGATAACAAACCCTCGTGCAAATTCAGAGTCTCATGAACGTTCCCCACATCTGCATGGTTATCTGCAGCTTTTCTTGCTCTTATGTTTATCTGATGAGAACTCATGTCTCTTTTTCCCAGTGTCACAGTCACTTGCCTTTTTGCGGGCTCTCCATGAAGTACCACCATGGGAATATCTCTTTTTCTCCCAGACCAGCAGGACCATTCCCCTCTCTTGAAGAAGAGTGGCACAGATGTCCCTCATGAGCACTGACACTTGTGATAGTTGAGATAAACTGAAGCTGTCCAGAAATCCCGCGATGTACTTGAGCACTTCCACTGGGAGGCTGCTCAGCAAGTCCTTATTTCTTCCTCGACGATCCACTGTGAAATTGCACTTCCCTGGTTCTGCAAGAAGGGTGTCCACCTCTGGCTTAATGGCAAATGTCTTGAGAGGCTTGCTGTATATAACCTTGGCCTTAAGTCCTTCAGGGCGGAAGTGATTTTGAACAAAAGGACACCCCAGGTAGGCCAGTGGGCAGCGATGCTGGAACCATCCATCCAGACATGACTGGATATCAGCGTGCACATTCTTGAAGTGGGATGGGAACTCATCCCTCCTGAAGAAATGACTGCAAGTGAACGTGAAAGCTGAACTGCTTTTGTTGTGTCTTCTTGTTACACAATCAGTGTAGAGCTCCATGTGGAGCTCTTCTGGGCTTTTTTCATCCAGAACATCTGCTAGAACAGCATTAGAGGAGAAGGGCTCCAAAGGAAAGCTGTATGTTTGTGTTGCAAAATCCACAAAGAGTCCATCAATACCCCTTGCTTCAGAGATCTCATGGCCTTTCAGCTCTTTTTCCAGGGCACACAGCAGTGTGGCTTCAACTATATTTGCCTTAGGTAGTTCTTCTACATTTATTCCCAGTTCTGAGGTATCCACTGACTTGTCTGAAGTTGGCATCTTATGGCCCAGTGCATCTCCTAGTCGTGCTCTTTTGCCACAGTAACTAACTGGCACTTTAAAGGTGTAGACAGTCTTCACCTCCTGGGCTTCCAAGTTCCCATAGACAAAGTCTTTTTCTTTGGGAGTGCAAGCAGCTATCTGGCCAAAGCGGATGAGCATTCCACCATGATGTACCAGATACATGTTGTAATCACCTACGCCAACTTCCTTCTTCAGCCTTTCCAGGACCCCTTCTTGCCAGGGAGCCATTCCTTTCAGTTCTCTACTTGGTGTTACTTGTTCAGGCTTTTGGTTCTTTGCCTCTTCTGCACCGTCAGGTCCTTCCTTTGCCTTCTCTGTGGAGCTGGCAGCATGAGAGGCTGGTGCTGCCCTCTTGGAAGCCTCCTCTGTCTTTTTTCCTGTGCTGGCTGCTGAGCCCACAACCTGGCAAGCCAGGAGCTCTTTGCTGAAAATGTTCTCCCAGGTTTTGTAACTTCCCAGGTCCATTCCCTCTTTGTCCTTTGCCAGTTCTTCACGCTCACGTTGGCTGAGCTCGGGCAACTGGTCTTTGCCCTCCTGGGAACCACAGGCGACTCCCCCCACAGCACCTCCTTCACCACCCATGGCTTCGTCCAATAGCTCTTCCACTTCATCCTTTTTCCTCCACTCTGGAAACAAGTCAGCTATTTTCAAAGTCCTGAAAAGTACCTTCTGGTCTCTGAGTGCCAAGGCTGTGTCCAGACACTCTTCATTTAAGGTCTCCTTCATAATGTTCTTGTGGAGGGTGGTGTCTGAATCCACGTTTGGCCAGCGATTCCACTCCATTGAGCAGCAGACAACACTGGCTGGACAGACCTGGAGGTGCTTTCCCAGCTTAAAGCGGGCCATGGAAAAAGGGCAGCCATAGGCTGAGTTGAGGCAGGAGACCTGCTCTAAGGGACAGAGCAATTGGTGCTCCTCCTCCTTGCACATGTGGAAGGTGGCCCCGCAGTGAAGGCGGCAGCTGATCACCACGCAGGAGACAGAGATCTCAACTGGTGCGCAGCAGTGCCGGCTGAAACATCGCTCACAGTGCCTGTGCTGCCCAGGGGGAGCTTTCTGGGCCCGGTGCTGTGTGTAGCAAAGACAAGAAGACAAGAGTTACTGCCGGAAGGAGGGGAGATGGCCACAGACCCTCTGTGCTTGTCCTTTGTTTCTACACATCAGGTGCTCACAAGAATTTAAAATTCGCAACCAACAGACTGAACTAAAAGAAGAAGTTGATGTGCCAAACCAAACGTTTTAGAAATTTAAACGAATTTATTATATAATTAATATATATTATATACATTATTTATATGTATTAATTAAATATTGTCTTAAGGAAGACTGAGTTTATGCTCTCACACTTCCATAATAATGTGGCTTTTTCTCCCCTTCCCTTAAAACCTTTTACTGAGGTCCAATAGCAAAAAGCAGAAGTAAAAGAATATGATAAAAGGTTATCACTACCAGATTACTATGTTTGTGTCACAATGAACCACTGGCTTCAGTTTCATTATTGCATTTCTCACTCTTCCCCAGTCAATTAAATCAGTTTAATGTAAAAATAATGCACTTAAAAGACCGCCTTCAAAAATATCTTAGTTCCCCTTGCTCATAATACCTCTTGCAATAATTCCAGATAACAGCTGTTAATACTTCCTACAAATGGAAAACCAGAATAACAGTCCAACAGCAAGTGAATGGAGATGGTGGTTGTCATGAGGCATTGCTTCCTGTCTTATGATCAAAGAACATAAGAAATGACATTCTGGGTCAAATCAGAGGTCTGCACATCCCTGAAGTTTTCTTCAACAATGTTTGTAAGAGATGTTGTTTAGGGGGTCCTTTCCCCTCACACACAATTGTTGGATTACAGAACTAGAAGCTGCTCAGTCACTGCTTAGAGCTACTTCCCTGGGTATCTTCAACTGGATATCAGTAACTTGGCCCAAAGAAGAGCAGCTGTAAGCAGCAAACTCCCACCTTCTAAGCTCCTGCTCCTTGCTGTAAGGGCTGCATTCCAGCTTGATTTAGCCCACTGTGAGTCTTTGTGAAAACAGAAAAGCTAATCATAAGGAGGAAGGGGAGTTCTGTTTTCAAACAGGACCCAGGATGCTTTTATTTCTTTGTGAAAATGGGAAAGATTTTTGACAAGTCTCCCCACCACACCTTCTATGCAGTAGGAACTACCATAGGCCAAATAGACTCTCGTTTGGCTCTGAGAAAAAACAGACATTGGTAGCAAAATAATGAAGACTTTAGGGTCTTTTTAGCTAAGATTAGAGAGAACACAATAGTGTTTACTGAGATGTGAGTGCTTTTGCAACCCCAGGCTTAAGTGACCTCGCCTTTAGGAGAGCTGTGCTGCAGAGCAGAGAGGCTCAGGCTCAAGAAGAGATGCTACGTGAAGCTGCTCCCCCTCCTTCTTGAAGGTATTGTCTTAATTTCTTGTCTTTCACACTTCCACACCTTGGCAATGGAAGACACAAACAACACTGGAGAAGGAAAGATGTCTGGTAAAGGCAATGCTCCTGGGATACTGCACTAAAGGCCACACACTCATGTTTGAATTTAATGTGTATTAATTGCTCAACACAGCTTTGTTCCATCTTTTGCAATTTCCAGTGCTGATCAATGCCTGCTTACAGTTCCTAGTGAATCAACTCCATTCCCTCTCGGCCCTGCAGGATAAAGGAACACACCCTTGGTGGTCCCCTTATTCAGAGACTTACACTCTGAAGTATAAGGCTCAGGTACCTTCACCTTTGCATGGAAGGAGCTCCAGACAGCGATGCAGAAAATAGTATTTTGTCACTGCCCCTTATGACATCCCTGCCTTGCCTTGGGAACCACTGGCTTCTGCACAGGGGTGACACCAGCGTGCAGGCCAGAGTGGCCTCAGCCACATCCAGCCCTGAAATGTGGTTCAGGGTGGCATCTGTCCTGCTTTAGGCTGTTTGTTACACCTACATTTATGTGGCTCAGAGAAGCAGGAGATACAGATGGGTTTATTTCATATTGGCAGCATGCTTGCTGCTCTCATTCTTGTAGCATTTTGCTGCAAATATAATCTCTAAAAATAGTCCCAGCCATGACTTGCATAAGGTCAGAGGAAGGCTGGCTACATTACACCGCAACAAAAACATGGATGTGTTGTGTGAACAATACTTTCCAATGCAAAAGTAACTCTTGGGGAGAAATAACTGATAAATAAAAATACATCAAAGGCACGGGCCTTATTGTTCTCCAAAACACAGAAGGGACTGATTGCAAAGTTTCTGGAGAGGAGCCTGCTTTCACACTGCTGTATGCTGAAACAAACCCCATCTGAATCTCATGTAGGGAAAGAAAATACATGCTTTGTTTATGAAAAGTGACCATATCAGAGCATTCAGATGCAGAGTCAGTCCCCATCATTATTCAGGTATATTTTTAGTTGAGTTTACCTCATCTCTAACTTGCATATGCCGTTCTTTTCAGACAAAATATCTCTATGTCTCTCTTCTCATTGTTAAATCTGTGAAGTTAGAGGACAGGAAGAAGACACAGAGAATTTTTTCCTGATATTTATCAGGGTTTGAATGCAGCTTCTGTTCTGACATGCCAGTGATCTGGAGCTTTGTATTTTAATTGATGATCCAGTTAGCTCTGTGGTTTAGTTGATGTTATTACTGTCACCACACAGACTACAACTTTCAGAACCCTCAGCAGAAAGTTTACAAATCTTTGCCTCAGTAAATTTGATACATAACATCCAGAGGCAAGTGACACACAGACATGTGAGGTGATGAAACGTTTCTCTAAAGACGTACACTTCTTGTTTCCCTGCAACTTGCAAAATTTTTTAAGATCTGGGTTAGGAAAAAAAAAGCAAACCAGAAATGCTAACTTCAATCATGTTCAAGCTACTGTGCAAGAAAGGATGCACATTGCAGTCCACAGTCTGTCCACTTTGGTAAATCTTTATTTTTAGACTGTCAAGCCAGCAAATCAAGTAAGGCTTAAAAATATACAGCTGCTATTTTAACTGCAGCTATGTTGGTGTCTGGAGCAGATCTGTTCAGTTATTGTCACACACAGTTTATAAACCCATTACGATTTATTTTCAGGAAATATAAATTTAATTCAGTTGCAGTCAATTAGCCAAAATAACACTAGTGTTTTCTCATACGTGCTGTATGTGCCTGATCCTTTGACATGCTAAGGTTATACATCGTACCTGAGCTCTTTGCACAGAACTAAGGGATACCTTCCATTTTGAAGAAACATGGGAGGTCACTCAGACACCCCAGATAATGACCCTAACAAGTGCCTCTGAGATGAGACTGTGAACAAACTTGAAACAATCTTGCTAAATTTTACAACATGATAATGAGCTCTTAAAAAAAACTCAGGAAAATTTGCATCCAAATGCTAGAGCCAAGAATGGTAAAGTTACATATAATGTTACAACAGAAGGAATGTTGAATGTATAGGAAGATAGGTGATATTCTCTATTTCTTTTAATCCACGTTACTGAGTCTATCATGTTTATCTCATTTTTATCATATTGAAATCTCAAGGTGAATAATTCATTAATAACAGAGTTATTAATTTTCCTACAGGGTTTTTCAGTATATTTAATATCTTAGATCTGAGGGGGTTCACAATCAATAAAGAATTTACCTTTGCAGTACTAGAGATGCCCTTCAGGTTGAAAGATACTGTTGCTTCTATTTGGCAGATATAGAATTAAAGTATAGAAATATGAAAATAACTAGCACTAAACATAATATTTTATACAAATAAATAACTATACATGCCAGTCATGGAGATGTTCGGGTTCTGATGTTTCACTTGCAGTTGCATGCTTCCTGCACTAAAACCCTGGCAGAGCCTGCCGCAGAATTACATTTTCTAGGACACCATCTAAATCTCCTTAAACTAAAAATTTTATTTTCCTTTCATGCACCATTCTTCCTCAATCACTACTTCTTAACAACCTGGGCAAGAAATCAGACTTGGGTCTCTCTGCTAAACAGATACTTTTATTTCTTAGAGCTGAGGATGAAAACACTATGATTTCACAGAATATTCTGAGTCGGAAGGGACTCACAAGGTACTGCATTTGTACCTGAAGTCCTGTTCTTTGATACAAAATAAAAAGCAAATCCAAGCATGCCACCACCTGGAATCACAGTGACCTCTAAGTCAGTCAAACCCCACCCCTCTACACTGACAGCAGGGACAGCCTGGGTGACCGCCTTGGCATTAGGCATAGCAGGTCACTGTCCTTCTGGCACACCTGCTCTGCAGTTGCCATTTGGACTGATCTTACACATGCATGTTGCCAGCCAAGATTTAAATGAGTCAGGCAGTGAATATGGTACAGCTCAGGGTAGGTGGAAAGACAGAATAAAAGGTATAGATGAAATTGTGATCAATAACGTTAATAACCCTCTAGCAAGCGTGAGGAAGCCCAAGTTTTGAGGTGACCTTGAAAGAGTTCACATGGAATCACTCTGATTGCCCATTCACCAGGGCAATCCTGGTGAACCTCAAATCCTCACTATAAGATGTGAGGAGGGAAAGGGTTTTCCAGGAGACAACTGACCTGCTAGATAAACCCAAAGGTGGAAGGATGAAGCTGTGACAATTATGGAGATACTCCCTCTATTTTTTAGCTGGGGATCATCTGGGTGAGGCTGTGGTGTTTCATGTCAATAGCCATTAGTTCAGAGTTACTGAACAGGTTGGAATTGCTTTTTACTGAAAGAAAAAAAGCTTTAAAATTTCAGGGATGGAGTAAGTCCACAGTATACTCCATCAGATGGGCAAAGGCTTCAATCCATATTCCTTGCTTTTCTTCCAGGGCACACCTGCTACTCAGGTTCTCACAGGAACACATCAGCTTCTCTTCAGCTCCCTAAACCTGACATGCAGGACCATGGAGCTCAAGGGAATCTGTTGCACCATCAGGCCTCCTCCTCACCTGGAAAATCTGTGCTATACACAGGCAATAAGGTGGTAGCACCAAAACTTGCTCGTGCAATTTCTGTTTGGTGAAATGCACCAGCGCTGGTACAGGAAAAGCAGGGGAGAGTTTGGAGTAGTGAGGCACAGATGACACAGGGCACTGCTGGTGGAAACCCCACTCTGCATTCCCCACCATGAGACGTGGATCAGCAATATTTCTTACTCCTCCCTACTTGGTGCAATGTAGCCACAGCTCATCTAAGACAAACCCACCCCAAAATTTCAGGTGCTGAAGTGATCCCCTGAGCTGGTGGCACGGTGCAGGTTAGCCCAGAGCCAGCATCTTGTGCTGGGCATGTCGGAGAGTCATGTGGGAGACAGACAGGACAGGAGGCTGTGACATGGAGTTGCTCTGCCGCTCCTTGAGCATGGGAGGGGGCCCTGTGCTGTCCTTGGTAGACACATAGTCAGGCAAACTTTGCATCAGTAACTGGGAAGTCGGTTTGGTCTTGGTTTGAGTTCAGCAAGTGCTTTAAAATAGTAAGTTCCAGTCTAGTTGTAGTTTGAGGGGAAAAAAAGGAATGGTCCAAACCATGGGTTTTTCTCTTTTGGCTCAGGTTCTATTTTACACTCTGGTAACAATCTCATTAACATACTTTTCTGAAAACTTATTGATATAATCTAGTGAATGGCTTTAAGAAAAACATAAGGCAGCCCAAGGCAGGTGCTCACTTTAGAGAATTTCAGAGCTATTGGTTAAGATCTAAGTAATAAAAAAAACACAAAAGAGAAGAGATTCATGAATAAAAATTGTTAAGCAGCCACAAGACTAAATGGTACAGTAGTACCTGTAACTCTTGTAATTCTTACTTTACCATTCATTCAGTCTGGATTGCCAACATAAAGTTTGCAGTCTGAGTCTGGAAATATCATTAGATTTTAAGTCTGAGCATTATTGCCACAAGATTGCTCTTGTCTTTTCCCTAACCCTTACTGTATCTCCTTGTCTTACTTCTCTCAGAGTTTCCTGAAATTACAGAGACTGAATTTTTGATTTATCATCTGACCCGCTGCTGAAGCTCCCATCTTACAATCAGCATCTTAGTTCTTAAAAACCCTGGATACGGTACTGCAAGCTACAGCTAATTCACTGAATATATTACGAAGGGGTTTTTTTTAGAGTAGTATGTCACAGAAGTGCTCACACTTACCAGCTGCGTCTGTTTTAGGGAGTCATTTTAGACATCTCATAGTTATTCTACTTCATCTTAATTACTAAGGCTGTCTTGAAGATGTCTTGATTTTCAAAGCTCAATAGAGTAACCATTACACTGCATAAGGTTTGTCCAGTAAAAACTCCAACTCTATTTAAAAAGCCTTACCTTGATCATAGAGCCCCTGTGTATGTACCAAACACTTGCTCTCCTGGTTGTGCTCAGCTGGGCTGAAGTGAGGTGGGTGAGGGAGGACTGCAAGCAAAGAAAGGGGAGAGAACAGAAGGACACGGAGCAAGCCCAGGCAGAAACATCAAGTAGTTTGGGGATGTTAAAAATAAAACCTGTGCATGTGACCATGTAGCTCAGCTTACAGAGCAGTCTCTTTCACTGTATTTGTTAACACTGTCACTTCTGGAGTGATATTTCACAGATGAGAGGCAGAAACAATAATACTCTGTGCCCCCTGTATGAGAGAAGATCAAAACCCTTTCCAGAGCCCTGTATCAGCTCCTTGCTGCTCTCTGATGGTGGTTTGCCCTTTACAACTTAATTCCCCTTGGTGCTCACACCAGCTTGTGGTTTTTGCTCTTGGAATTGTCACCCCAGCTCCCATTGTCACCAGATTCAGCAGGTGGTGCAGACAGCAACGGTGGGTTTCCAATCTGTCCACCAAACAGGGTTAAAAGAAAAGAGAGCAGGAGTGGCCCAGAGCTGAGCAGCCAGGCAGATCTGCCTGCCCACCTCCTGAGGACCCCCAGGAGACTCTCCAGCTCATCCCTCCACTGCATAGCGAAAAGGTTCCACCAGCCACCCAGGGCAAGCCTTGGGGTACAGCTCCCAGTGTCACCCTTCCTCAGCCAAAGCTGGGGAAGTAAAGGAGCAAAGGAGAGCAGTCAGGTTTTACTGTCAGCATGGACCCATGAAAGCATTTCGTGGTGAGTTTCATGGTGAGTATTTCATACTGATGGTGAGTAGAACACAGGTACTGACTGTCCGTGGGGTTCAGGGGTGCAGATGGCACAGGCACTGCTTCTCCCTGGTGGGTGCTCACCTCATCTGGTTGCAGACACCTCTTGTGACCCTGATGCCATATGTAGCCACCTTTCACCACCTCAGAGACACAGGACAACCCCTTTTGGCTGTGGTGGCTCTGAGATCCTAAGCCCCGATGAACTCGTTACTTTGCCTTATCTTTCTCTTTCCCTATCTCTGATTCCCCAGTGACTCTCATAGTTTGAAACAGTGCAGGCAACTGTTTTCATTTTTAGGGCTGAACAAAATGTCAGTGGGTGACAACCAAGGCTTGCTGGTGCCAATCGCAATTTAGTAGTGCTAAATATGGTTAGCAGTCTGGCTCTGTGGCCTTTTTTAGAAAGGGCTGTATTATCGTGATACCATTTTCTGGCATCCCACTGCACTGTGGAAAACAAGAGCCCGTGGTAGTATGCCTAAACCCGAATTTCACCCAATCACAACGTGATCACTGACCTGTTTACCCTGTCCACTCCTACCCTCATCCCTCCAGTTCAGGGTCCCTCCTTAGCCTTCAGTGTTGTTGTCATCTTTAGAGGCTGTGTTTAAAAACATGCTGGGGGTGTGGCTAGCTTTTGTATGATGTAAAATTCTTCTCAAAGTTCTGTATTACTGACTTAGGAGTAAATGCCCTCCATTTGAATTAACCCAGATTACTAAAATACTCCGGGCTTCAGAAGTTGCTGCCAGAAATGAAGCTACCTTCTGTCTTAATTTTACTGGCACCTGATGTCAGCCTTGTTTTAGATCTCTGTGTTTTCAGACAGTCTGAACTGGTGCTTTTCGCTCTTCCATGCATTGCTTGGTGATCACACAGACCCAGACAGCCTGGACCTGCCTCACTCTGTTTGGTAGCTGCCTTGCAGCCACACAAGCCCACAAGTTTTGCAAATCCTTCCCTGCAGGTTATGGCTTTAATCAAAAAGGCACCATGTGTGGTGGCCTTTGAGGGCAGGGTATCACAAGACACACAGAATGAATATAGTTCACTGTGCCTGAAAATGTGTACTTGGTAGAGAGAAGGGAGCAGAAGAACGGAGAGACAGGAATCAGGAATTCCTGCTTGTACCTGCAGCACACTATTGCATTAGCTCAGCTGCACCTGAAAGCAGACTTTTATTAAAAACAGGAGATCTTGAAGATCTCTGTTGCCACCGCCAAGTGTGCTAATTTGATTCAAGGTATCTCAGGAATGCCAACCAATACTGTAACCAGACCTCCTGCTGCAGTACAGATGTGCTTAGGTAGGATGCAAGAAACGTGAAATTTCTGAAAGAAAAGTGTAACTTGTTTATTTTTTGGTGCAAATGCTTTGGGAGAAAGCTCTTGCCTGTCTGCTTTAATCTCTTATCTCAATTCTATGTGAAGAAATGCCGTTTTTCTACATGAAGCCCTATGAAATATACCTATGTACATGATATGTATGATATATACAAATATACACATCTATTGATATGGGAAAATTGGGTGATATCTGGTAGCCCAAGAGAGGTGAGGCCTCTGCAGCTCCGTGCCCCCATGCAATAGCCTAGTTGAGCTTGTTACTTCCCAGTACGCACATGCACAAATCCACATAAACACCTCTTAAACATGGACACAGACTACACATCCAGCCACACAGAGCACTCACATAAACACAGTGCCAGTGACCTCAGTAGCTGCCCCTCAATCCAAACCTCTCAGGTACCCTTGGTCTCCCAGCAGTTAACTCTCTGTGGTGCTTTTGCCCTCGAGGGACCCCCAAGCCTCCCAGTCTTTTTGGCAGCTGGATGGGTCTTCTGTGGTCCCCCTGGGAGCTGTCTCCTTCTCCATAGCCTTTTCTTGCCTCCCAGGCCCCCTTGCTGGCTAGTTGTGACTGTTTGCAGTCATCTGCATGCCCATGCCCTGTGCTGCTCCAGGGCATGAGTCCAAGCTGCTGGCACCTGGATCCCTTCACACAATTACCACGTCGTAAACAAAGTCCTTCATCCAGGGCAAATTATGAAAGGAGTTTAATGAGAAGACTGGACAGGTTGCACTGATCAGGTACAGGGCATGGCCAAACCATCTGCACACCACTGGCCCTTCTTATTCCATATCCCATGCTTGTTTCTCTACAAATCATCTAAATCCCTCCTGTTTCTGCCCTGAATAGCCCCTAATGTGTCCTGTGCAATGCCCAAATGCTCTTCCCCTGTACCCCATCGTGTGTCCCACACCCCGGAAGACAGTGACACCGCCAATCCTAAAGGTGCGCTGGGGCTGAGGCTCCCCCTGGGAGGGGGGTAGACAAGGTGTCCCTTCCTCTGAGTCCTTAACTGGAGTTCCCACCTGCCCACCCTCGAGATGGGCCCTTGGTGGGCTGATGGTTCCTGGGATGGGCCCGGCAGGGCGCTGCATGGGCTCCCCCTCCTGCCATCCTGTTCTCCTCCGTGGGTGTGCGGGCCGGCTTGTGCCACGCAGTCCAATGTTATGTGGCTATCGCATCGCACTCCGTGGCTGGCTGGGAGCTTATCGTGGCATTCCGTGCTGTCTGTGCGGTCAGCGACCGCGGCTGTGTCTGTCCCTGTTACTGCCCCCGGGTCTGTCGCTGCCGCGGGACCGCCCGTGGCACCGCGAAATGGCTCCGCTCTTCTCCGCGCCCGCAGTGACGCGCTCTGCGGTGACATCGAGGCCACGGCTATGGAACCTACATCAGCTCTGGCGGAAACACCAGCCCGCTGCGTTATCCCTAGCTGCAAAAGCCCCAGGGCATCCCTGCCGCTTTCACTGCCTCCCGGTCCGAAGCTCTCTTGGTGGCGGCGCTGGCGGGCGGCGGGTTATGGCCTAACACCTCCCTGCCTTTAGCGGCTGCTGCGCCACTGCGCCCACCTCCATCCCCTCGGTGTCCGGGCCCGCGACCCGCTCTCCGACGGCCGCCACCGCCGCCCCTCAGGCGGGGAGGGGGCGAAGCGGCTCCTCCTCCCCGTCCCCACACCCTCCCGGGCGCGGCGCCGCCGCCGCTGAACTACAGCCCCCAGGATGGCCCGAGGAGAGAGCGGCGCCCCTGACCAGCGCGGGGCGTGGGCGCTGCATGCCGGGAGTTGTAGTGTTCCCCTCAGGGGCCGCGCCGTCCCTGATGAGGGCGCCGCCGGCCGGCCGGGCTCGCCGGAAGGGCTCTCCCTCCCAGAGGGCGCCGCGGCGCGCCGCACGCGTGCGCAGTGCGGCGGCCAGCCAGCGCCGGGCAGGCAGGGAGGGAAGGAGGGCGGCGGGAGGGAGCGGCGCTCGCGCGCCTTGGGCCCGAGAGAAGACAGCGCGGGGTCGGCGTGGCCGCGGCAGGTGCGGAGGGCGGCGGGAGCCCCTCACCGCGGGGCCGGCGGGGCGGGAGCGGCGGCGGGCGGGCGGCGCGCGGGGCCGGGCCGGCGGGGCGGAGGGAGCGGGTGTGGATGGGCTGGGGGGCGGCCCGGGCCGGGCTCGGCGGGGCGGGGGGTGGGGGGGAGTCGGTGCCGCGGGTGCCGCGCGCCGAGGGAGCCCCCCCCGGCCCCCGGCACGCGCGCGCGCAACAGGCGCGCGGGGGCCGCGCGCGGGGCGGGGCGGGGCCGCCGCCGGCTCGGCGGGAGCGGCGCGCGCGTGGGCCGGGATCGGGATCGGGATGGGACCGCGCGGGGGGCGCAGGGAGAGACGGGACCGTTCTGCCCGGGGAGAACCCCCGCGCGGCCGGACGGGCTCCCTGGGCTTGTCGTGGTGGCGTGGCCGCGCGCCGGCTTTGGAAGTCGCCGGGATTGGCTGCGGGAGTCGGGAACTGCTGCGGGACGGGGTGTGAGGAGAGGCAGAGCCTCAGCTGGACGAGAGGACATAGCCTTAAGCTGCGCCAGGGGATGTTTGAGTTGGGCATTGGGGGAATTTCTTCACTTAAAAGGTGGTTAAGCTTTGAAATGGACTGCCCAGGAAGGTGGTGGAATGGAGGTGTTTAAGGAAAGACTGCAAGTGCTGCTCAGTGCCGTGGTCTGGTTGACAAGGTGGTGTTCAGTCATAGGTTGAACTGGGTGATCTGTCTGAGAGGTCTTTTCCAACCTGATTGATTTTGTGATTCTGTGGAGGGGGAGGGAAACTTTCTCCCGGATCTTCCAAGCTTTCCCCTCCCCTTCCCGCATCCCCCCCGCCAGTGATGGTAGTTGATTTTACTAAAGCTCTGCCTTCTCCCTGCAAACATCGCTTCGTATCCTCACATTGTCCCACCCACAGCGTTGTCTCCCTGGCTCCCTGCATAGGATGAAGGGTTTGCGCTCGGTGGCCGTTTCCACTTGTCCTGTTCCAGTGACTTTGTATCCGGCAGAAACTCGTCCCATTCATACTCCCTGAGTCTGTGTTGCCCGTACCGCGGCACATGGACCGATGATTTTAAGCTTTGCCTCTTGAGGGCGTTTCATGAAAACTGAAACTCCGGGCTGAAAAGATACGTCATGAGCTGTGAAAATACTGGGCTGCTGTTTCTGCAGAATTCCCAAATGGTGCTGAATGGTTGTGTTTAATGGTCCCTTTATCCTTTATTCAAGCTGCTGTTCTTCTGGATTTTTTTGTTTGCTGGCGTATTTTCTGCTCTGACTGGTTGATGTTAATGAAAGACTCAATAAAGTTGGGATATGTCTATGAGCTCTCAGAAAATGGGATTTTAACTTTATCCCTAGCAACTAGTTATTTTAAAGCTACTTTGTATATACCTCTAGCAATTAGTAGCTAGAATAGAATAGTTAATTAGTAGATTGTAAATAGAGTGTAAATTAATGTATTGAATCAAGCTAATCTTTGTATTTGTCCTTGTTTTTTATTGTAACTTCACTGTGTTCTCCCTTCAGCATTACCACCTGCACTGACATGTGAACTGGCTCGTTCAAAACAGGGTTTAAAATTTCTGCTTGAGCTTTAGTTGCACCTTTTAATTACGCTTTAGACATAGCCACAGGCACAGGGGAAATGAGTCGTAGCTCGAGGCATGGTAACTTAAGATGACATGCGAGGCAGAGGTTTTTCTCAGCGATGGTTCCCTTGTCACAGTCTTTTAAACATATGCAATGATGCTTCACTCCTGAGAAGTGCTTCCCCTTCTGAGAAATGTGGCTATTTTGGGGGCTTGGCTTCCACCACTGGCCCCCAACTTCTAAACAGAGTCTTTGTTACATTGCATCTCTCATTCTAACACTGCACCAGGGTGTTTGACTTTTGCTGTCAGAGTGCCATACGTTGATTTTTTCCGATGTTACATTCTCTGTGTCGATGACTTCAGAGCTGGCTTGCTGGTGTAGTCCTGTGTATATTCAGCCGAGTGCTGGTTCCTGGAGAAGTCACAGTTTAGTCCATTTAGAAAGGGGAAGGCAGCAACAGCCCATGTCAGCAGCACTTACGAAAGTCACTGTGAGAACTAAAAGTACTACAGGCGGTTGTAGCAGTTTCTGAAAGGTTCTTTATAGAGACTTCTAAGTGCAAATGTTTATTTAAGCG